TGTCCACTCTGCCTGTCAAACAAAATTAAAAAAAATTGGAAAGGAACCAAGTAAATCATCTGTCAATGCATCTCCAAAACCTAGAAAAACAACGTAACAAATGCCAAATTAGTAGGAGGAAATAAATCATTAAAATTAGAAAAGAAATAAACAAAATTTAAACGTAAAAAGTGCTAGTGAAATGAAGAGATGGTTTTCTGAGAAAAAAATAAATAAAATTGATACACCATTAGCCCAACTATTCAAAAAAATAAATAGTGATAAGACCCCAATCAATAAAATCTGTGAAGAAAAAGGAAATGTAACAACTCGTAACACAGGAATAAAAAGAATCATCAGGAATAAGTACAAAGAGAAGTATGCTGAGAAATTTGAAAAACTAGGAGAAATGGATAGATTCCTGGACACATACAATGTACCAAAATTGAATCATAAAAACATAGAAAACTTATAAGACCAATAACCATGGCAGACATTGAATCAGTAACAAAGGCCCTCTCAACAATAAAATCCTAGGACTGGACCGCTTCACTGCAAAATTCTACCAGACATTTAAAGAACTAATTGCAATTCTTCTCAAGCTATTCAAAACAATTGAAAGGGAAGGAATCCTCTCAAGCTCCTTCTGTGAAGCTTATTTCACCTTAATTCCTAAGCCAGAAAAAGAAACAACAAAGAGAAAGAGAACTATAGACCAATATCCCCAATGAACATAAATGCAAAAATCTTCAACAAATATTAGATAATCAATCCAGCAACACATCAGAAACTTCATTCACTGGGACCAAGTGAGATTTATCCTGGGTATTCAGGGATGGTTCAGTATTCATATATCAATAAATGTGATACATCACATTAACAAACTGAAGAACAAAAAGCATATGACTATCTCAATAGATACAGAGAAAGCATTTGATAAAATACAACATCCTTTCATGATGAAAACCTTAAACAAATTGGAGATAGAGGGAACATTCCTTAACAAAATCAAGGCAGCTATTACAAACCCTCAATCAGCAGCTAATTGAAAGGGGGAAAGTTGGAAACATTCCAGCTAAGACCCAGAAACAGACATGGATGCCCAGTATCACCATTGCTATTCAATATATTCCAGGAAATATTAACCAGAGCCATATACAAGAAAAAAGAATGCAAAGGGATACAAATTGGAAAGGAGGAAGTCAAACATGCCATATTCAGGGGGACCAAAAAAAAAAAAAAAAAAAACTCCACTAAAGGACTATTAGAATTCATAAAGGAGTTTGGTAATGTGGAAAGCTTATCAAATTAGCACACAAAAATTAATAGCCTTTTTAAACACAGAAAATGCCTTGGCTGAGAAAGAACTTCAAACATCAACCCCATTCAAAATATCTACAAAAGAATTAAATACCTTTTAATAAATTTAACCAAGGATGTCAAAAATCTCTACTATGAGAATTACAATCCATTAAAGAAAGAAATAGAAGAAGACACAAAAAAATGGAAAAATCTTCTGTTTATTGATTGGAAGAATCAATATCATCAAAATATCCACACTACTGAAAGCAATTTCCAGATTCACTGCGATCTCAATCAAAATACCAAAGACATTCTCAGATCTAGAAAAAATGATGCTAAAATTCATATGGAAACTCAAAAGATGCCAAATAGCTAAGCAATCTTATACAACAAAAACAAAGACATCACAATACCAGATTTCAAGACATACTACAGGGCAGTTATAATCAAAATAGCTTAGTACTGGCAAAAAATATATGTGTAGACCAGTGAAATAGAAGAGAAACTCCGGAAATCAATCTACACATCTACCACCAACTTACCTTTGACAAAGGAGTTTAAATCAATCTCTTAAGCAAGGACAGTCTCTTCAACAAATGGTCTTGGGGAAACTGGGAACTCTGCAAGACATTGGCATAGGCAAAGATTTCTTGTAAAAGACACCACAAGCATAGGCAATCAAAGACAAAATTAACAAATGGGATTACCTCAAGCTGAGAAGCGTCTGCACTGCAAAAGAAACACTCAGCAAATTAAAGAGGCAACTGACAGAATGAGAGAATATAATTTGCAAACTGTGCAACTGATAAAGGATTAATAAAGTGCTCAAAAAGCTCAACAACAACAAAACAAATAATCCAGTTAAGATATGGGCAATGTATTTGAACAGGCATTTTGCAAGAGAGGAAATTCAAATGAAAAAATGCTGAAGAATACTTGACATCAGGAAATGCAATTCAAAGCCTTAATGTGGTTTTACCTCACCCCAGTTAGAATGGCTCTTCTACGGAAGTCAACTGACAATAAATTTTGACAAGAATGTGGGGGAAAAGGTACCCTAATCTACTGTTGGTGGGAATGTTATCTGATGAAACCACTGTGAAAGTCAATATGGAGATACCTCCGAAATCTGAGTGTAGAGCTACCATATAACCCAGGAATCCCACTCCTGGGAATTTACTCAAACTAAATGAAATCAGTATGTTCACTGCAGCACAATTCACTCTTGTTAAGATATGGAATTGGGGCCAGCGCTATGGCTCACTTGGTTAATCCTCTGCCTGCAGCACCAGCATCACATATGGGCTCTGGGTTCTAGTCCCGGTTGCTCCTCTTCCAGTCCAGCTCTCTGCTGTGGCCCGGGAAGGCAGTGGAGGATGACCCAAGTGCTTGGGTGCCTGGAAATGCATGGGAGACCAGGAGGAAGCACCTGGCTCCTGACTTCAGGTTGGCGCAGCACCGGCTGTGGTGGCCATTTGGGGGGTGGGCCAACAGAAGGAAGACCTTTCTCTCTGTCTCTCTCACTAACTCTATCTGTCAAATAAAAAAAAGATATGGAATCAACCCAGATGTACATTGTGGGGAGCAATCCGGACTAGACTAAGTTACTCGAATTAAGACTTATTCTATGCATCTGCTCTCCCACAATGTGGCGTTGGGAGAGAAGTAAACAGCTTCCGCACAGCTGCCTCCAGTTCAACTAATAAACTGTAGGACTTGCTCCTGATTGGAGGAGAGCAGCGTACTCGGCGTGTGGGCAGCCGAGTTAGGATTGGCGGAGGAGGACTATAAAGGAGGAGAGAGACGGCATGCACCGGGAACATCTATGGGGAACATCTAAGGGAACCCGTGCAGCCCCCGAGAAAGCCGGCCGGCGGTGTGCCGCTCCCCTGCGGAAGTGGGGAATGTGGCCAGGGGGAACTGCCCTTCCACGGAGGTGGAAGGGATAGTAGCCAACCCGGGAAGAACCAGCAGCAAACCCGGGAGGGCCGAGCAGACGAAAGAACAGCGCAGGGTCCTGTGTCGTTCCTCCACGAAGAGGGGGAGCGACAGTACATCAACTGTAGACTGGATAAAGAATTTGTGATATATATAATCTGTGGAATATAATTAGTGGTATAAAAATGAAATCCTGTCTTTTGCAACAAAATGAATGCAACTGGACACAATTATACTTAGTGAAATAAGCCAGCTACCACAAAGGACAACTACTCTATGTTTTCCCTGATCTGTGATAACTAATAGAGTACTTGAAATGTAATGTATTGAAATGAAGTTGACATTTTGAGATTTAATGACAGCCTTTGTGTTTTCTGTTGAGGAACCATGTTTTTTCCTTCATATTTTTTGTTTAACACTTTACTTAGAGTAGGGTTAATCTTATGAGTATAAAGTAAACTGAAAATAGATCTTTTTAATAATTAAGAGTTGGAATAAGAGAGGGAAGAGGATGAAAGGTGGCTGCCTGGGCTGGAGGAGGGTGGGTTGGATGTGTCATTATGAGAAAAAAGAATAAAAAAGAACTAAATAAAATGCACTCAAATTAAAAAGAATATATTTTGGTTTACTCTTTTTAAGTATAATGCACTGCATTCTTAAGGTTCTTATGCATATATTATAGAACGTTATTTGTAAGATTTCTGTAAAGGCAACAATGTAAATGAAATAGTAAAGTTATATAATTAACACTGTTGAATAATTCTTCACTAACTCAGCGATTTTGAGGGGGGAAAATGTTCTGTATCAAATTTAGAAGTCTGAATTCATATAAATGAAGGTACATATTCTGTGACCAACACTCTCATTTAAATTGAGACTGATACAGATCTTTCCCAGATATGATTCAAAATATGAGGAAATTGGCTGGCGCTGTGGCTCAATAGGCTAATTCTCCGCCTGCGGGACTGGCACCCTGGGTTCTAGTCCTAGTCGGGGCACCAGATTCTGTCCCAGTTGCTCCTCTTCCAGTCCAGCTCTCTGCTGTGGCCTGGGAGGGCAGTGGAGGATGGCCCAAGTCCTTGGGCCCTACACCCGCATGGGAGACCAGGAGAAGCACCTGGCTCCTGGCTTTGGATCAGTGTGGTGTGCTGGCCACAGTGGCCATTGTGGGGGTGAACCAATGGAAAAGGAAGACCTTTCTCTCTGTCTCTCTCTCTCACTGTCCACTCTGCTTGTCAAAAAAAAAAAATGAGGAAATAAAGCTATTAGAATTTTCTTGGAGAGATAACTGTGGTATTGGTGATAAAAAAAAGTGCAAATAACCAATTAAATGAATATCAGTGTTTTTAATCTTAAATTTTTTTAATCTTAAAATTAATGTGTTCACTGTCCCCTAATACTAAATCCACTTATGTAGTATTTGTATGGTTGATCAGAGACTATATTTGACAAAAGCAATGCTATTTTTTGATTATTTTAACAGCATTGTTTCAAGTTTTGCATTTCCAACTATGTACTAAATTACTGTGATTAATGGCTTTCAGAAAAGTCTTTTTAACAAATACTGTTTGCACAGATGAGAATCAAATACCCTGATACTCTCACTGGAACACCTTGCAGATATCTTCTTGTTCCGCTGAAACTGCTTCATTATTGTAGTGTGGTCTTTAAATGTTTAGCCAACTGGGATGAACTAGGTTCCCACCTTCAAAGTAACAAACTAGGGAAAAAATATTCTGAACATTGTTGACTTCAAAGAGAAATCGAATAGTTTTGGGATCACTGTTTCTTCAGCAATAATATATTAAAAATCAATGGTGTGAGGTGGGTTAATCTTACATATATTAATCTAGAGACCAAGTTGTTTCAAAATTGGGGGAAAGGAAATAAAAACTTTAAATAAAATTGAAATGTTTTATTAAATGTTAAATATATCATCCCTAATGATATTTACATGTGCTAGGTACAGCATATAAAAATAAAATTAATTTCTTATAATTATCTACTCATAAAATAGAAGTAGTTATACTATACTTAAGAATCTTGTGCTATATTCTTCTTTAATACTCACATATTCCTATGAAACAGGAAGTATTATTTTCTCCTTTATTATTAACTAAGTAACCTGAACTTGGTTGGGTTAAGACATTTTCCCAAACTTATGCTTGTCCACAGAATCTCTTATTACACTCATTGTCTGGGGCCTAAGATGATATTAGATATTGGAAAATACAAATTTGATCAAAACCATAAGATCTGAGTGCGCAGAATTATTGTGCAATGGCACTACATCTGGAGTAACTCTGCTCCTAATTTAGAAATACAAAGGGAAAATATGATTCTTATATTTAATTCTGTTTTTTAACCCCTAAGACACTAATATAGTTTGGTCAAAAATCATTTACAATTGTATACATGTATTTTCTACTTCCTGTACTCTAATTTCGCTTTTACAATGGAGAGCTCCTATCTGGAATTATTGGGGTTTGGGTACCATATTGACATTTTTAGAATTTCCAACAATTCAGACTTGCTTTTTGGAAGTTCTTTTTTTTTTTTTTTTTCTCTTACAACCTTTAGTTTATTCTATCTTAATTGTTGAAAGATACTTTCTGTAGTTATAGAATTTTCATTTGGCAGTGCTTTGTTTTTATTTCATTGTTAGTTCTTTCAACACATGGTGACTGAGCTATACTTTAGCTATTATTTTTGCTGCTGGAAAGTCAATTTAAGTGCAGCTTCTTTCAAAGTAATCAATCTTCTCTTTCATACTTCCTTTTAAGATCCTCTGTGACTTAGGATTTCTGCAGTTTCCCTATGGTGAGTGTAGGTATAGATTTGGCTTCATTGCTAACTTACTCTCCAAAGTGGTTGTACTGTTATACAATCCTGTAGTCAGGAAATATGGGTTCTGTTTCTCCATATATTTTTGTTGTCCTTACGTTTTTACATTTTTAGCCATCTCTTGGATGTGAAGTTGTATACATTCTATTTTAGTTAGTTTTGATTTCTTTCTTACTGAAGCGATTGTCTCATATATTCATTGGTCTTTTGATATCTTGCTTTTGTGATTTTACTGCTGCCTGTTAAGATTTTTTTCTTTTTGTTTTAGTAGACTATTAAATATTGTTTTTTCTTTCTTTCTATTTCATCTGTTAATATACCTATGATTTATTGACCCAATTGGAACACATATTTGGTAAATTGTAATGAATAATAAGTACATAATTAATTAGGTAATTCATTTGAATGAAAAATTAAATGTATTAACAGATACCAACACATACAATTCTCTCAATATTTTTGAAATAACTACTATAATTTCTTTCTTTATTGATAATATTAATTCATGTTACCACCTGTCTTTTTCCTTTACCAATATTGACACTTATCTAATTGATTATGGTATTCTAAGGAATGAGCTTTTGTTATTTTAGATTTTATTGCTTCCTATTCCATGATCTTGCTTGTATTTATTATTATTTCCTATATTATAAATCTTTGAATCTTCTGTTCTTTGTAATTACTTGAATTGAATACTTTCCTATTTATTTTTCAGAACTTTTTCCTATTTTATTCATTTAATGAATCAGTTAACTTCATTATATTATTTGCATAATTATATGTTAGCACTTTCTTGTATTTTCATTATATGTACATATAGATATATTTTAAATTTATT